TCCAATTGTGTAAATTGCTGTGTTTATGACTCTGCAGGGATTGTGGGTAGCAAACAGGCAGTTTGTTTGGCAGACTTTTTTTTGGGTGTGATCATGTCTGTGATCAACATCCATTGCAGCCGGCAAACCTTTGTTTTGATATTTGTCACAATTAGGGCCCGACTGATATGGGCTTTTTGGGGCCGATGTGTACCGATATCTATATTGGGGAGAGAAAAAATCCAATACCGATATATTGGCCGATATCTTTCTTAGATCAATTTGGACCTTTAGAGAAAGATTGAGATAGATATATTTATTATGTTGATCCCTCAAATGCAGTTTTCAAACACTTGTGGAAAAGATATTTCTAATATTTAATGAAGACATGATGGTCACTCAACTGAAAAATAACTGTGCATGTAAGTGAATCACAGTTTGACGCAATGCTTGTTGTAATCCATATAGAACTGAGCAAGGCACCAAACCCCAACTGCTCTGCGTAGCAGTGTGCAGCAGCCCCACAAAAGACATCTCTCACAGGTCCTGTTTGTGCACGTATGTAATTCAGGCCTGTGTGTCTCTCAATAACAGAGTGTAAACCAGAATTTCCCTCAGGGATTAATAAAGTATTTCAAAATCAAAAACCGAAAAAACAAACAGGAACTGCAAGCTCAACATTGTCTTACTCGTGGCATGTAAGAACATGTTTTTCTTAGTATGGAGAGTTTAAGGATACCTAATTGATAGCTAAGAAGAAAATAAGCATTTGAGGGTTTTGGGCCTGAGCTGTTCTTTGTGTTTAGTGCTTTAACTTTAACACACTAAACTTAGATGATGATGATGATGATGATGGTTTACATCATTTGCTAAAAATCTCAATTTTAACATCGTCCAGCAGAATGAAGGACTGCCTTTCAAAGCTGCCATAATGACTGTATACTTAATTTGTTCTTTCTTCCCGCAGGATTATGACAGTGTGGTTAGAAGGAGAAAAACTTACCAGATTGAAAAGTAGATGATTTTTGTTGACATTATTTTTATTGGTTTTTATCTTCTTCTTTTTTCCTGGATCCCGTGATCCAAGTGAGTCACGGACTCATGAAAAACGAGCACTGACCTGATGTAACTACACATTAGCCCTCTTTTAGAAACCACAAGGGATTAACTGACACTGAGTGAGAGTAACTCCAAGCTCCACACGTGCTGGGGAACATTTTGTATATTTGGCTCTGAAGTGATGCATCGGTGGGACTTCTTTTTTACAACTCTGGCAGTTTTTAAAAATTTGGAATCAAAAAAGCTTTTCTGTTTTACTGATCTAAGTGAGGATTTCTTGGAATGTTTTTTTGGCAGAATCATAAACTACGACTGGACACGTTTCATCATTCCATTTACAGCCTGTTTTTTTTTTTTTTTTTTTTACTATCAGACGCTCAGGAGCTCCAGGAGCGCACCACCAGCGCTCCCATGAGGATCTGTTAGGTGATCAAAAGGAGTTACCAGGTGGACACTGGACCACAGACGCCTGCCAACATGTGACTTCAAAGCGGGTCATGTAAACTAGAGAGAAAAGATCCACAACAATAGGCTCCCAAATTAGCCGTGTGGTTGAGGCTTTGGATGGGGCATCCTTAATGACAGAAGAGTCAAAACCGCTTTCTTTCTACTTCTTACAGGCTGGCATCAGGCCTCCACACTGCAGCATCACATGCTGTGGTCAGTCTGTGCTGCAGTCTAAAGATATGGATCCTTATATGGCAGCGAGTAAGCCAGAGGGGAGTTATGATAGTTTGAGGATTGTCAGCTCTGGTTCAGAGAGCTTTCACTGCATGAGTATGAGACATGACAGCGAGCTCATGTCAGGCAAAGGCCATCCGAGTGCACATTTCATTTTGAAGGACTACTTGATCAATGCTTAGGTCACTTTTTTTTTTTGGGGGGGGGGGGGTTATGCCTTTGTCTAGAGATAAAACAGGAGAGAGTGGGGATAGATATGGTGGAAAGGGGACACAGGTCGGACTCAAACCCGGGCTGTCCGCCTGAAGAACCAAAGCCTCAGCCAATGGAGCGCGCACCAGCAACTACACTAGACAGGAAATGTACAGAGTAGACAGTAAGGTAAGTAAGTAAGTAATTAAAACCCCCAACTAGTTTTTATATTAGTCAAAATATTAGCTGGGTATAGAGATGTTAAAACCTGACATGGAAGTGGGATTGAAGACAGAGAAGGGGAAAAAGTGCAGTGCTGATTTTATTGTCGTCCTTATCTCAGCATGTCGCTAACTTTTCACACAGAGATCGGGTTTCTGTTGTCCTGAAGCTCGCAGCGAGGTGCACAAACAGCATGTGTGGAGTCTGGCTGCTGAAGACAATTAGTGACTGACTTGTTGTAGTCAAAGCAGAGGGCTTCTGGGAAATAGTGTGGGTCCAAAGGAGATCTAAGTAGGTCATTTGGAGCTGAGCTTTGGTGGGCTCATATGGTCCCTCTCAGCATCAGTTTGAGGGCCCTCATTTACTCCGCTACTGTTTTTATTGATGTTCAATATCTGAGACACAACAAGAACAAATATAATGAAAGTTTACATTTAATAGATTCTTATTCCAGCCGCATCCTGTCCCAACAAGAGGATGTGACCACAACAGTCGAGAGTTGAGCAAACAGGCCGTAAAATCACCGGTCCAGCTCTTTGTGGTCCCTTTATCCTTCTCTCATAAAATCCCACCTCTGCCTTTCAAAGATCCAGTCCCAAACAATGACTCCCAGATGTATAACCCAGCGGTTATTTGAGGTATATCAGACATTATCTACAACAGTTGTGGTCCACAACTGTTTTTCCTTAGAGGCCCCCTTACTTGTATTTTAAAAAGTGACCCACTGCTGTCACATATTAACTTTAATTTAATCATTTTTAATGTGAAATCATATCTGAATAGGCTTACACGTACTTATTCTTACCGAAAGAGTTTTATCATGATTATAGTTAGTATGTGGAAATCTAATTAACTTTTAGAAAAACGGTCCCTATGGCAGTGGTTCCCAAAGTGCGGGTTGGGACCCCCTGGAGGGTCGCGACACACTGAGAGGGGGGGTCCCGAGAAACCTTAAAAGAAAAAACTTTAAAAAATAATAATAATTATAGAGTGTATATTTAACCCATTGCTGTGATAATATATGCAAACAAGTGGTTCAAACAAAAACAAAAAATTGTCAGGGCGCAGATAGCCTAGCGGTTATGACGAGCGCCCCATGTATAGAGGCTATAGTCATCATCTCAGGGGCTGTGGGTTCGAATCCAACTGTCTTCACCCACTCTCTACTCCTAACACTTCCTGTCTCTCTTCAGCTGTCCTACCCGATATAGGCAAAAAAATCGCCAAAAGAAACCAACATATTTGTAAAGAGAGATTTATGCTGAAATTAAAGTAATATGTAAAAAATGATAAAATGATAAAATGATAAATGCCTTAATCACATCCAGGGATGTAGCAGGTTTGGGAACCCCTGCCCCAGGGAGTCTGGACCCCAGGTTGGGAACCAATAGTCTAAACAAAGTTATTACTTCAAATGAAGTTTCATACACACATTCCTGATATATTTAATTGAAATCTTATTTAAAAAAGCGTCTCTGTTTCCTTCCAAAGAAAAGAGGATTGACACGTCTTTCAGTAAGGTATTTAGCTAATGCTATTAAGTGGTTAGAAAAGCCTAGCTTAGCATAAACAATGGGATTAAGGGGGGACATTTTGGTCTTTCAACTTCATTTTTAGTAGATACTCAACAAATGAGATTTTAACATTTTAAATAGTGAGCTTTAGAAGTGCTAATATGCAGACTGTTAATGTTTGGGTTTGTATACGGTTTGCTGTTTCCGCCTCAAAGCGTAATGCTAAGTAAAGCTAATCACCTCTGGGCTATAAGTCACATTTTTCAGATAAGGAGACGGGCATCATTCTTGTTATCTCAGTCTTGTGTCTAAGTGTTCTTCTTAAACTATACTTAAAGTTAAGTTTTAAATGATAACCAACTTCAAATAAGCTTTGTGGATATGAAGGTGTGGCCGTAATACAACTTTTTTACTCCAGCTTTCTCAAATTATTAAGTTGTGTATAGCAGTTTTCGGGGTCAGCTGGTATAAACAGGCTTGCAGGGCTAAGCCCTCCTTTTGTTATTCAATATAAACAAGAGAATTATTCTTCAACTACAAACAGATTGTTTTAATTTTTTTGCAGCCTAGAGTAGCAGCCTAATAGTAACACACACAACATGTCTTAATGCTTATGTTTTACAGCCCTCGCACTGTAGCATCCTCTTCCATTCATTTCCCCAGTATAAATGAGTGACAGGTGTCATGGCACACCCACTTGATTTGATCATCATATCAACAGACCACCAACTGCAGCATTAAAGACTGTACAAAGGAGACGAACATTAATATTGTTATTTAAGTTAAAATTACTGCAATTGTGATGCTAATTCTATAAGCCTGTTAACGACAAATTCTGTTATGTGTTAGCATCAAGCTATCAAATGAAGACCCCCCCCCCTCCTAAGAATAATGCACCAGCTGCAGCTATTCTGGATTTTTTTTTAACCAATCAGCAACTGGTGTTGAAAAAAGAAGCCAGTGCTACGGCAAAACCCTGAAGTTCCTTAAGTGTCCACTTGAGGCTGACTGCAGGAGCCCCAGAAGTCACATACAACCCCATTAAAAAATGCCCATTAACACAGCAGAAGTAAACATGTTTAGAGCAACAGGTGAAGGAGTTGGTAGTTATTTTTTTGTACTGATAAACTCTGTTGCATGGCATCAACTTCATTGCGCTCTACTGTTGGCGGGAATTAGCTCACGTTGCCTTGTTAAGCTTTACTCGTGAAGTAGCTACAAATAAAAAGTTGTCCACATTATCATTTAATGCAGTGCTGACTGAATAATCGAAGCAGCTTTAATGTTCACAGCTGTGATCATTCTCATTGACATTGAATAAGTAGGCAGTATTGTTATGAAAATCCACCATACCTGCTCCACTCGGATCTCATACTCTCCGTTCAGCTTCTTCCCTCGAAAATACTTTGCCCTGCAGAAAATCAGAAGACAGAAATGTCAAGGAACAGCATGACAAACGATTTTAAATACAGTTGAAACCTTTTAATTCATTTACGTGCATGAACTTGTGAATTCCCCGCCCTGGCACCAAAAGACAGCGACTCCTTACAGTCAAAACATCCTTAAAATAGCCTTTGTTTATTTCATTGAATGAGGGCTGAAATTTCAACAGACCTTCTAAAATACCTCACAAGCGGACACAACAATGACTCAGATTTTCCATAATTAAAGAATGTGAACTTGCGGCACTTCTAGTACACAGGATCTCTTGGCAAAGAGTTACTAGTGAAGTACAGAGCTTAGAATAAATAGAACTCCCTGAAGGAAGGAAGGATGGTCCCAGTGGGGGATTTTTTCTTCAGGCTATTTATATATATATTTTTTTTGATGTGGTCAAGGTAACCCTAAACCCTTGCAGACATCTTTAAATGATAGTATCAAAGAAGCCATCCATTGTAGTTATAAAGACTGCTCACACGAACGTCTGGGAGCCATATGACGATCTCATGAACATATACAGGAGCCCCAAAGCACTTATGCTTGTTTTTGTACTGGAGGCAGAAATATCTGACTGTAGATGTTTTTAGCTAACTCGTATTGCCCTTTTTGATCGCTTTGTTGCTGATGACTTATGATGGATTCTGATGAATGGTTCTTTTTGTGATTCCTGTATTTATGTTCATTGTTGTTAAGTGTTTTATGTCTGAAACCCTGTGATTGTGCTGCTGCCTGTCTTGGCCAGGACGCTCTTGTAAAAGAGATTTTTAATCTCAATGAGACTTTTTCCTGGTTAAATAAATAAAAGGGGGCTAGCAAGAAACTCCAATAAAAGGCTTGAGCTAACATATACAGCTCAGCTCGTTTATATGAATACTTCTATCTTCCACACTAAATGCATCCAGTTACAATGCTTGATTTTGTCTCATTGTCCCAAAAACATGTTCTCCAAAGTTTGCATCCTTCCTTTAGGGGAAGATGCCACAGAACTGAGAGTAGTGCTCACTGTTATGAGTAAAACTCAACCGTTGGTGATATGTGCATGGTTCCCTTGGTGCTGCTGTTGGATGTTTATAAAGTTTTTATTGAAACACTGCATGGAAAACCAGATTATCTGTCCTGTAAATTGGTGGTTAATGGCAGTTTATCATGAAGTTGTGCTGATAATTGTCGAGAAGGTACCCACAGAGGTAGGATGAGGGGTTGGCTGGGGGATTGGAAGGGTTCTCATCTGGAATGGCTGTAATAAGAATGTGATTGTCACTGGTGTCTGGCTTGCCTCCCTCAACGGCCCATTGGATGAAACCACAGACAAAAAATTCCCTCTTGTGATTGGTCACCTTTTGGCTATTATTCTAAATGCTTTATTTAAAACACAGAACACTTTCAGATGGGTATCGTGGATCAGGGTCACCCACAACGCCCAATCTACGGGTTCTATCACATGGATAACCAAACAGTTTTGTGGCGCGCCCCATGTACAGTATGAAGACTGTAGTCCTTCTTGCAGCAACTGTGGCAAAAAACACAACAACATTAAAACAACGCTGCTCTGAAAACAGGGTTTTGCTTGTTCTCAATGTATCGTTCTGTTTGGGAAAGATGAGCTGCATCCCAGTAGGTGTAGTTTACCCTGTCCTTTTAGATTGCAATCCATCAGAGACAGGCACAATGCTTTAAGATGTGGAGCCTTCTTGACTTGAGAAGCTCATTGTCGTCTCATAAATAGTTATGGTCATGTTACGTCCCAGTGCTCTCTAAGACTAGGCTTTGAACTCTCACCCCTAACAGGCATGGGACGGTTAACAATCTGTCATAGGCTTCAGGCTGGAGCTGCGTGTAGCTGAGGATCTAGGCTACATGCTAGAGGCCTTTCAGTTACTGGGACAGGCTGTTTGGGATTTAAAGTGCCCCTCGACCTCCTCACACCAAAACACAAACATTTTCCTTTCACAGCTTTTTTTGTTGGAGCCTCTCGTTAAAAAAAAGCGTCTTTACTCCTCGACTTGTCATCTTCATGTCCGCATCTGTTGCTGTTCATCTCCTGCATCTGTCCTTATTAAGTCCATTCATTAAGGTTCATTATGGCTGCTGAGGGGATGGGGGGGGGGGGGGATCTTGATCTTAACATGTCCCAGCTGTTGGACTTTAAAGTTTGGGGTCCCTTAGCTAGTCTCGTTCTTTGTAATTCTGGAAGCCGTGAATCTTCAGCGTGACTGACCTACATTCTAGACATGCAATGCCCTCTGTCACCCGGGCACCACCACCACCATGGAGCATGAGGCCGTCCTGCAGGCTCACCCTACAAAAATGACTGGTATGCATTGCAAAGTATTGCAAAACATTTCGTCACCCTGAGTGATCAATTTAATTGACGGGCCTCTGGTTTGAGCAACTGCTTTATAATGTTGAATGTAAACATTAAGCTCTGCTAAAGAGGTCCGGGCTTTGCTTCTCCCCCGATGTGCACACACCCACTATAAAAACATGGAGCAAAATTCCTTTTTTTTACCATGAGAATATGTTCCTACTTTTGTGTACTTCTAATAGAAAGCATATGAGTCATGCATGTGGACAAATCCGACCGGCCCTCCAGTGTGTGTTTTACAGTTATCGCTGCTTCTATATGTAGCCACTGTGCTAAACCTGATGTTGAGCCAATTCTGCCATATTTATTCAAGAGATTTTTTAGGGGTGAAAACATGTTTTTACATGATGATTACATTCTACATATGTTGGTTTAGCTCATGTTTTCTTCTGTGAAGGTTGCAGGGCTCCCACTAATAGAATACTGTAAGAAAAGGAAGATTAATCGACCCTCTAGTTAAGCCAATTTTATATTTGGAGACACATCATAACACAATTTGTCCATGGGAATTGTCACAGAGAGCAGTTTTACATGTTCTCTTCATATTATTATTTAAGAAGACCCTCCCCTCAATATGCTCTTCAAGCATAAACAAGATCATACGGTAATTGACTATCTCTATCGTTGTTAAGTTTTGGTTCCATGTGCCGTTTGTCTGCATCGTGTTCTGCACTTTGCACTTTGTGAACTTTTGCCCCGTTTGTGAAGTACAGCCAGGACTGATAAATGCCAAAAAAGAGATTTTCTTCTGCTTTTTAATCTTTGAGATGTTACAGCAGTGTGTGGGCTCCCTGCATGACAAAACATGAAATTAAAACCCACTTCATATGGCTCAGGGCAACCGAAGGATCTCATCATACTCTGTGAGATACATGAAGAAGTAAACACTTTGCCAAAGAGCCGTCGAATTGAGCAATCAGAGGCTCATATCATTCAGAACACAGTGCAAACAGACTGACAGCCTCTTGGCAAAAACCTCTTACATGTCGGCCTGCAGAGAGAGGGAGAGAGAGAGAGAGAGAGAGAGAGAGGAAGAGCAAGAGACATAGAGGAAGAGAGGGAGGGATTGTCCACGGTGTTGGTGATGCTCTCGGAGACTTTGCCTCAGTGCTGTGTACGGCTATTGTGCATCAGTCTTTGCCCGAGGCCAAGCTTGTCAGGACAGAGCAATGTTTCCCCAGAGACCTCAGCCTCTCAGCTGGAATGCCCAAGAGGAAATTCAGCCCCAAAGCAGGGAGCGGTGGATGGACGGACACTGGGATACCTTCACAGTGCCTTCAAGTCAGGACAGTTCTAGTCACTCTTTTAAACCTTAACACTATTGTTGTGTCACAGCTTTTTGGATTACTGGCCAACAACTTGTTTTGATTTTGTTTTAGCAAAAGAATCGTATTAAAGGTATAGTTTGTGACATTAAGAGTAGATGTCCAGTAGATGTCGCTCTTTAGCACCAGCCTCTCAGACCAAGACAAAGCACACCGCCTCCCCTCCTCCCCCGACCCCACCCTCACTGTTCTCACCAAGTGTAGCTGGTTGTAGGACTGGTCTCCATTCAGATATTCAGCCCCGAGCTGTTCTGGATCTGACTCCTGTGAAATATTTGAGTTCAAAAAAAGTATTTTTAAAGTCAGTTGGTTCTTCTTGAATTTACTCTTGCAACGAAACTCCATCATTGTGCCTCTACATAGTTGGGGCGGCCGAATATGTTCCCCTATGCGGTGACAGGGCTAACGTTTGGAGAAGGAAGAGTATCAATTAAAAAATAATGTATGAAACATGTTTGAGCCTTTGAGAGAAACATCAAAAAAGCTGAAACAGGTGGCATCCCATCAGTGTGGACACAGAGCTGAGAACAACAAACCCACAGGATGTTTCACTTTTTTTTTCTAGTCAAGTCATTACTCAACGATATATTTAGTAAGGAAACATTTCATATCTGCTAAATTGTTTAAAGTGTTGTATATTATAGCTTTAGATTACTGCAAACAACATGCCAGACAATACTTGTCAGACAAAGTTCAGAACTAGCTGGTGAAAAAACGTAAACATTTGCCCTAATGAGATGGTGGAGCCCAAAACAGAGGTAAAAGAGTTGATGCTAAAGTGGCTTTGTGGCTACTTGATTATAACCAAACTATTTGCCTCCACAGTCACTATATCTGCAATGGGGCCATTGTCCTTGGACATCATGGTATGATTTATTTGGCAAATAATTTGGTAATTTGGCATAAAAACAAACATCAGACTTCTTTTTTTGTTTATTCACACCAACCAGTGTTAGAAAACATAGATTTATATTTGTACCCACTATGATGGTTAGACATGGTCACAAATCATGGTCTCAACATCAAGCTGCATCTTCAGATGACCCTTTCACATATTACCCTAATTTTAAATAAGTCTCAGAGCTCCTCAAAACATGTGTGTTAAGTTTCTTGTTCTAAATCCACTCTGATCCTGTATTTGATCATGTCTATAAACCCCTCTATTTCAGCCCTGCTCAGAACAGGCTGTTTCTGTGTCTGTACCTTTAAATATGTAAATGAGCTGTGTCTGACCACGCCCCCTCTCTGGAAGGGCTTGGGTGTCTCTGGCTTTCTCGCTCC